TGTGTGTGTGTGTGTGTGTGTGCGTGTGTGTGTGTGTGTGTGTGTGTGTGTGTGTGTGTGTGCGCGCGCGCGTGCGCACCATAAACAATATCTCTGCTGTTGAAATGGATCCACTACATCTGGAGGTCAGGGGCTTATATTCAATCTTGAGCACGTTGAAAAAAATCCATTAGGGTTCATCTTTCCTGCATCAGCCATTCTATTGTGGTGCTGCAGTGAGATCTGTTTTCATCAGGCAGATTCAATGCGTGAGCTGGGCAATGAAAAGAAGAGTGCAATAGACTTGGATGGAGAGAGTGGAGATGGAAGGGCGGGGGAGGGGTTGGGGGGGTGGGGGGAATTGCAAAGAGGTGACTCTTTTTCAAAATGAGCATATGTGGATTTCATCATTGTGTATTTTAGAAGTAATTCACTTGAGTGAAATAACATCGAGCTCGGTACGGTGCGTGTACAAGGGCGATGAGAGTGTTTCGTTGCAGGTGCTCGCATAAAAGCAGAAAGTAAATGGGCTACTTATGCGAAGAAATGAGTGGAGGAATGAGTGGAGACCTATTGCGGCGATAGGTAAACATGTTCAGGGAGCTATTAGACGCACAAGAGGCAGCGCATGTTTAGTTTCCTCGATGAAACAGAGTTTAGATTGAGTTTTCTCCGGCTTGATTTACGCTCCCTAGTTCATGGCGCAATCACATTTTTTGACTCTCAAGGGGCACTATTTGGATATATGTTAATAGTGAGTGGATGAAATGTCATCTCTTCAGATCGGAATCAAGCCTCTTCCAAATATGGATAAAAATGTTTGTCGGATATCGGCCAAACTGTGTGCGTGGTGAAGCATCACACATGACTCTGAACTGGAGATACCACACAAGAAGTGTCCAGACGCTTTTTCTCTTGTCACCAATGAGTGGATCCACTTTTCTGGTGAAAATGCGAGTCCTTCAGGGGTTCACTAAACAAGCCCCTAAAAGCCAGTAGTAGTGCTTCCTGGAAAGTTAAGGGGAAAAAAAATACCACGCCGGTTTTACCAATTAACACAAAAACTGTTGTATGTCTGCCATGACAGGATACAGGAAAGACAGGAAGTCAGCCATTTTGGTTTGAAATTCTAGGGCTTGATCTTTGCAAAACTCCTACCTGGAAATTTCCCCAAACAGGGCCCACTCGGAGAGGTTTAGCGATCTTTTTTACTTCTGTAATCTAATGCGGGCTGAGCATGGTGTCAAATTTTGATCATTTGAAGTATTTGCTTTCATTGTAAGATGAAACATTATTGCTGAATTTGGCATTTAACAACTAATCACACTACATTGTCATCTCTGTTATCTCATTCTTGCTAACTCACAAGAACTAAAAAGGAAAACTACAAAACAATGACCGCCTTAATTTCATGAATAGTTAATGATAGTTTATTGATAATGATGATGATGTTGGAAGCTGTAATGTGGCGTCCA